GGATAAAGAAAGAAATCGGTTTAAAAAAAAAAAGAAATAAAGTACCGAAAAAAATTCTGAAAAAAAAAGGACAATAATTCGATCCAAAAGACCGAAAAAAAAATTCAAAAAAAATGAATATGGTCTAAAAAAAAAGACCGAAAAAAAATAATATAAGTCTTAAAAGATTATTTAATAAAAAAAAATAATAATAATTTTTCGGTTTTGGAAAAAAAACGGGAAAAGAATTAAAAAAGAGGGAAAAAACGAAAATTTTTTTTTAAAAAATAGGAAAGGAAATAGATGTTTCGAGAAAAGAGGAAATTTGAAAAAAAAGAAGAACCATTTGTAAAGATCGGTTCAAGAAAAAAAAAATGAAAATTAAAATGAAAAAATATTTGAAAAACAAAAAAAAATCCCGATTAAAAATTTCATTAACTGGAATTGACAACATGACTTGCCGATCAATTGGGTCTTAAATATAAAGAATACGTCAAAATTAATTTATACAGGCTAATCTAAACGTTAGTCACGCAAACAATTTTTTATTTAAGATCTACAAAACATCTGGATCGAAACTGGATCGATGGTATTATAAGTCCATTAACAAAAAAGCCAGATACTCGAGTTTTTGAGATAATAGGTAATGATCATAAGTAATATAAGAGTTATGTAAATTTGATGGCCGATTTTGCATCATGTAACAATATCAATATATACGAACAAAAGAAATTATAAAAAAGGGCTTCCAATAATCTTATTTGTCTTACAGTACATAATAATAGTTTCCGTTAATAAAATAATAAAAATTACTACATAATAATAATTTCCGTAAATAATAAATGACTAAAGTTCTGCCGGTGAATTTTAATTATGTAGCAATTTTCTAACAGAAGCTTTTTTTGTAGGGAATGTAGTGCGTGACAACTTAAATGGCTTTAATTTGTGAGACGTATGTGAGAGCGTTTTGCTTACTTTTTTTTTATTATTATTTGTGAAATTCAAGCTTTTATTTTTGAAATACTAAGGTAAGATCAAAATTTGGTAATTTCGACTTGTTTTCAAATACTAACCCTTCTCAGAGATTAGCTAATGTTTCATTTGCGAAATGACTTATCAAATTTTTACAGCAGCGTATATTCTCATACTTTTAAATTTACTAGCTAATGTAGTATTAAAAATTTTTATTTTATATTATTATTATTTCTTATTATTGTTGTAATTGTTATTTATAGTATTTTTTTTTTGGAAAAATATTTTTTTTTTTTTTTTTTGTGACTTGAGATAAAGGAAAATATTTTTTTTATTGGTAGGAAAATATTAAGATATAAATTTTTTTTNTTTTTTGCAATAACACAATAAATATTCAATAAAGAATAGCGACACTTTTTCAAAAAAAAATTTTTTTTTCCTTTATTAGTACATAAATGATTACAACATAGACGCAAAGCATCATATCAATAAAGTATCTATCTGATAAAATTTACAAAATTGAATCTATTACATAAAAACCTAATATAATTTGAACTATTTTATATGCGTTATGGTTTACTCTATTGATATATCTACTCACTATCACTATCATCTCTAGCACCCTGTGCGTTTCTTGTTGCCATTTAAAATTTCCGTTTCTTCTAACTCTCTAGCTTTCTCTTTACCTTTACCTGTTGATTCTACCTGTTTCTCATCAATCATATTTATTCTGTCACTAAATAATCTTCAACTATTTCTTTATCTGGACCCCTCGGACTCATTGCCTCGTAAAATTGTTCATCCCCGATCGGATATTAACGACGGCATTCTTGATCGGCTTCGTCTGTTGGTTCTTCCTGGCCCTAAATGTACCATCCTTTGTGATTATTTCGTCCTGACTTTTCATTTGAGATCCATATCCAATTTCTTCCTCCATTCCTGACTTGTAAACTGTGTATATATATACGTTCATCATGTCATTTTTCGTTGTTAAAGTAAATTAAGATATATTTAATAGTTTTTATCCTAATTACTTTTCCACCGTATTTCTTGATATATTCTTTGATTATCGCTTCATTATTTGCTCCATTATCAATTGTTATCTTTTTTATTGCTTGCCAACAACTTCTCTTGTTTATTTCCCGTATCGTTAGCTTCGAATCAAACATCCGGAAAAATACTTATACCATTTTTAATGATTATTATATTTGACCCTCCTCGCTTATATATTTCCTCATAATTTTTGATAAAGCGAATTTTGGCCTTGTCCGTCTTGTATTTATAACATTGATTGATTATAAGCTTTTCAACATGGCCTATTTCGAGTATATTCTCATATATTATTTCATCTTTCCCAGTACCAAGGAAAATCGTAAAACGTGATCTCACGTGCTGTATTCATGTAACTGAGTTGTGGTGATCGACACTTCGACCACTTCGTTGATTCGGTTGATCTTTCTCTTAGGATAATTTTATGTATCCGAAGTTTTCCGACTTTTACGCCTTTTTGAAGATTTTTCCTTTGTTTGACTCGAATTATCTTTATTCTTCGTTATTGATCATATTTGTGTGGTTACCAAAGATTCCAATTTTGTTATCTTCTCACCCTGCTCACATGACTGTGGTTGTTGCTGCGCTCGCTGGGGAGAGGAAATTTTTCAAGAAATTCATTAAAGTTTTTTCGTATTATACTAGCACTCCAGTCTAATAAAAAATATACTATATATATTGCTTGAGGTGGTCGTACTATTCGTTTATCTTTTTCTGCAATAGCGTTATTTATTTGGTCTACTGATACAGTTTTGAACGTCTTCATATTAAATTCTTGAAATTCTTTCAGTGATTTTATCTTGTATATTTTCGTTAAAATCCTATACTCAAAGTTCTCAAAACTTGCTCCAAACTTCTCCATAAAGTTGTTTATTAGTTCTTCTCTCGATAAAACTATATTTTCTGACATTTTGTATAATAGTTTTGTTTTATTCAATAAAATTTGTATTTTTATTAAAAATTTTCCGTTAATTTTGATCGACCTTTTCAAAAAAATCAACAAAATCACAATTCAAATAATACTGTAAAAAAATGGAAAAAAAGTTTCTAAATTAATGATAAAAACAATTTGATCATTTTCTTATTATATTATCAAAAAAAAACTAGAGATAAATAATTGATAGCCTATAAAGGGCGCAGCATGTTTCCAAAAGGAAAACAAATGATTTTATTGCTTACTGTGCAATCTTTTGTTAATTTAAACTTTTCAAATCAAAAGTAAATACACTGTGTATTAAAATATATCCCACGCAAACTTAAAATTATCTTTCATATTCTTATCAATTATAATAACACACAGAAATATAATCCACAACAATTGACATAATACTTTGAAAACGGTAATCCCAAAGAATGAAGTAGTTTTATCAAATAAGATTTAAAGTTAATAAATTCCTACTTACTTTTATTATGAAATTGAATTGAGAAGTTGAGAAATCTATTTAGCAATCATATTATTTATAGGATAGTAAAGATTGAAATGACAGATGTAATGAAATTAAAGACGTGCATATGTAATCATAGAAAATTTACATTGAATCTTTCATATCAATTTATCATTTCGTTACATTTTATAGTTTAAATTTTGTAATTTTATTTAATATAAATCATTTAAGTCATTACAATTTAAAGTTCTATTTAATGCTACTATTATATCCTTTTTCTTCAATAGCCGACCCTCTAATTTAGTCTGCAATAAAATAAAAAAAAATAAAATCACAATTTTTGTAAGAAAAACTAAACGTTAAATAGAATTTAAATTACAATGTGAAAAAAAAATTCTTAAAAATAATGCATAAAATAAAATAAATGACAAATAAAAAAAAAAAATAGAAAAAAATAAATAATATAACAAAAATAAATAATGAAAATAAAGAAA